TTTTTATCATCATTATTATTATTATAACTATTATCATCATCATCATTATAAAAAAATATTATTATTATTATACAGTCATAGCAAAATGCCAGCAAATGCTTGACTTGATTCTGTTTGTGCTTGTTCCAGCCGCCTCGTGTCGGAGGGGTCAAAGTGTACACGCAGCTCAAGCGCGATGAGATCTACATGGACCTTGAGTTAAAGTAAGACATTTTTGCCATCGCAGATTCTCATTGTCATTATCTCATCTACTTTAAAATACCATGATGGGCATAATCGGCATCTGTAGTTTGGTGGTTAGGCTCCTTATCATCATCATCATCATCATCATCATCATCATCATCATCATCATCCGGTGCCTTGCTGACTGGCGTGGGCAATCATGGACCTACACTTCACTCTGTCCTGCGTTGCAGCGATGGTGTCTGCTGTTCTTGCTGTTCCCAGCCATGTTGTTAACTTGTCCAGTATCTTTTCCCTCTGTCTGCCTCTGCCTCTCATTCCATCAAACTCAAACTTGCCTGTTGTTACAATATTCTCAAATGCTTCTCTCCGCATTGTGTGTCCAATGAAATTTGCCTGTCGCTTTTGCATATAAGCGTCATAAGCTGTCGTGGTTGTGAGTGGTTAGGTTATCGGAATCGGAATTGTGAGGTTGCGGGTTCGGGAATTTAAGCCTCAGGTCATTCGTTGTGTCCTTTGGGAAAGGCACTTTACATGAATTTTCCTCACTTCACTCAGGTGGGAATTGGTACCCAGCCATAGACAGGGAAAGATCTTGTCAGTTTGTTAGTCTTTAAGGGCTTAATCAGCTGCTTAGCTTGCACTGTATGCTTCCCGGGAAGCTGAGAATGTTTAGCTGAGTGATCTATGGTGTGCTGGGGTAATAATACAGTGTAAAGTGCATAGAGCTTGCTGTCAACCGGGGGTGTGCACTATACAAATGCGATTTATTATTTGTTATTATTATTATTATTACCGGACTCGTAATCGTGAGGTTACGGGTTCAGGGGTTCGAGCCTCAGGTCCGACGTTGGTCCTTTGGGAAAGGCACTTCACCTGGATTTTCCTCATATCACACAGGTGGGAATGGGTACCCAGCCATAGACAGCGAAAGATCTTGACAGTTTTAGCGCCAGTAAAATGGCAGCTTGCACTGTATGCTTCTCAGGAAGTTGAGAGTGTTTCACAATGGTATCAGGTGTGCTGGGGTAATAATAGATTGTAAAGCGAGTTGAGCTTGCTGTGGAGCAGGAATTTGCAATAACAATTGCTATCTATTATTATTATTATTATCATCATCATCATTCTCATCATCATCCTCATGATCATCATTATTTTCTCGCTAATTTTACCTCTGACACCAGGCAACCCCTGCCTCCTTCAGTCACAAACATTTTTACTTCTATTTTACTTCTATTTGAGGTACACGGGTACTTTTTCCTTTGAAAGCAAGACAAATAAACAAGCTCTAAGATGATACCAATTCATATGCTCAAAATATGGCAAGCGCCTGATTCCACCGTGTTGTGACACGACACACATGAATATAATAATATTATTTCTGATCTCTCTCCC